TTACGCTTCCCCCTCTTAGAAGATGGACATTTGTTCACAAGCAGATTGTGCAAAGCAGCAAAGACTTTGTGAGAAGCCAAAGAACCATATCTTCTGACAAAGTAAAGCAATATGATGTGATTTTGCGCAAAAATGACTCTGCAGGCGTCTCCATCCCATTGTTTAAAAAACTGTTGGATCGACTACGAAATTGATAACTTTATGACGCAAAATAGATTCATAGTTATTTGTATGCAAATTTGAGACATAACTTGGGTTAGAATACTTTCTGCACCCTGTCAGCTGCTTAACATAAGACAACGATGACACAGATATCAATACAACCTGTTATGAAATCTGTTCTGAATAATATCTGCAGGGATGTACACTCTGCTTCTTGCTCGGTCACACTCACTGTATCAAACAACTGAAGGCTTGTGTTGGAACTATTGCCATAAAGCCTTCTCTCCCAATATGACCTCAGCCTGTACCAAAGTTACATACAGCAGTAAACAGGTGATCAGGACCTGCTGTGGGCATGGCAGAGACACTATTCTCCCTGTTGAATTGTGCTATTAAACCGATCTTTGACACTGCTCTAAACGGTTTGAATTCACTGGTAACCTCTTCACCAGTGCTGAAGGAGAATAATGAAGACAGATGATAACAACTCAGTCTGACAGCAGAAACATGATCAGCTGAAAGATTGTCACAGAGACTTTGGGGGACTTGATCTTAGCAATTCAAATTATAATTGTCACTTCACTGATTGTTAATATTGTTAATAATCATAACAGAAGCTTCATGGATACTAAGGGTGCAAAAATGTGTTGAATGTAGAAAGAAGAAACCCAATTTTATACTTAATAAATATAACCTGTCTAATATTAAAAGTTAACATTTTGATGCTATTTTATGATTATCTGTTCAAACCCATGAAGCTTAATAAAATATGCAGTCATTCATGTTTGGAAGTAAACAATGAAACAAAGATATTCAATATGCAGTGAAAGTCTAATCATAAGAAAACATTTTGTTGATCTTTTAAGAACAGAGAGAGATATAACTCAATATCTTACAGTATGAACTCACTTATTAATGTGTTAATCATAAACTGCATAAAACACAGACCAATTATGACTGACGTCACCAGTTGGTCTGTGGAGCCCGATGATGGTAGTCAGCATATTGGAAATGCTGAGCAACACAAACTTTTGGTTGACCTGAAATAGGTAGAGTGGTGGAGCTGACACTGTGACTCAACTCAGCTCAAGCCTGATTATGTAAATGTGTTTAAAGCACTTAGACTTTATGAAATAAAAATGGATGAGTCATAAAAAAATAATCAGACCCATACTGTGTGCGCCCATAAAGAAATAACTAATCAGACCAAAACCAGTCTCCCTCTTTTCATCAACATTACATTTTAAACTGGGATTTCCTTTTTCTCGGGTTGCGCGTCTCACATCTTACGCTTTCAGACGCTTGGATGGGGAGACCTCACCACTGCTTGTACCCCTGTCTTTGATACCTCTTTACTGTGCATTTATGTCCGATCAGACACAGCGCTGGCAGTTGTCTGGTGCTCAACAACGGCGAGTAGAGCGCCCGTGCCACAGAGGACACAGCTCACACCTCCTGCACAATGTATGACAATTCATCTTCAAAAGATGGAGGGAAGAAAAGAGAGGCCCTGTTTAATGCCGAGGTTTTCTTATAAGCCAAATTTTATTTTTGTAATATTCAGTTTTATCTCCTATAACTCATAAATACTGTACGTTTATTTGCCTCTCCCACTAATACCTACTTTGCACTTGCAGTCATCCTGCTTCCCGTCCAAACGGAGAGCATAGTATGACCATTTTCAAAAACCATATCAGAAGGGTCTGAATTTATGCCAATTAAAAAAAGATAACCATGCTTCAGGATAAACATGTAATTGGTACAACATGCAGTACAGCAGACAGACAACTGTTAGCCAAAATACTCAGTTTCTTTATATCATCATCCCATTATTGAGCAATGTAATATCACGTGTTTCATATCCTGCAGGCATCTCAAACATCTAGCTTATCTTCTTTACAAATGAAACAAGATTTTGAACCGCAAAGAGTCAGAATCTTTTTCCTTTCTGTGAGGTAGTGTGTGGCACGGTTAGTCCTGGCCAGTATGACCGCGGGCCGGCCAGCGTGGGAATGGCACAGCGGGGGGCAATCGTGCTTGAGTACAGCACGGTACGGATGGCCAGTGAGACTGCGCCCTCAAACACTGGCGGTTAGCTTGTGCTTGCGTGTGGTAGCTTTCAGCGTACCCGCTACCTCCTGCAGTGAGTTTGTGATTCTGGGGGCGATGAGCCCAGGGGGAGAGGCCTAGTTTGAATGTTGGGTTTACAAGCTGCAGTGAACAATGCTCCTAACTTTACCATTAAGACAAATCAATTATTATTATTATTTTTGTTTCAACCCAGAAAGTAAACCTGGGTCTCCTTGATGAGGGTCCTTCATGTGTCTGGTCCATCTTTCAACCCGCTGCTCTTATGTGCTTAAGTGCTTTCAATACTATATGACCTGACTTTAGCAACGAGAAAACATAGAAGCTACACCACAGCATTCAGAAATGATGCTGAGGGGACACCACTCCCATCAAGTTTCAAAGCATACAGCCGTTTATCTCAATGACTTATTTAAACAATAAAATTACATTTTCCATCAACAAGCAGCATTTGTCACAACAGTGTTCAGAGAAGGAAACCACCCTCCATGAGGCACTCTGAGTAAAGGGCACACATGGAGGCTGACTGGTAATGGCTTTAAGCCAGCGTGAATATTTAAGCACAGCTTTCAGGATATCAAGAGCCCGACTGAGTGAGAGGATCTGTGCTATTTTAACATGTTCTCCAACACGTGAGGACAACACAGATGTACTGTATATGTCTTCAAACACAACAGAGAAACTCTCTGGACTGTGCCTATACTTAGACTGCAAACCACTCCATGGACATTTTTTGCATAAAGAAGCAATCTTATCCTCAGCTCATGTTTAAAGTGCTTTAAAACAAGCTGCCTCACTCATTTCAATATTTTTTCAGTGCTTATGAACAAGTAATCAATATTATATTCATGCATAAAAAGATATTTATTCCCCGCCCCCAACCTCACAGACTATTTGTTTACTTCAGTGTGCTGCTCACCAGTACCATGTGTCTGTTCTGAGAGAAATAACAAGGTAACACATGGCTCTCATAGCTGTTGTTCGCCCTGATGGGCACAATGACCTCGCAGAAGCCTTCTCCTACCACATAAACTTAGTGGGAGAATATCTCCCGCCACCATTTTCATTATTAGCAGGCTAATCTTCTACAGTACGCTCAACAATGTGTGCTGACAACACTAGCTGTTGTCAGCGCATGTGGGTAAGTATCAAACTAGTATTTCAGTATTTCATGACAAACATGTTTAATGTAAAAAATATTGCACAGCAAGTTATCATTTTTGTTTTTGTCTAAGAAACAGACAACACTCTCCCTGGCTCACGGCTGACATTGTGCATGCTAACTGAGTTAAACTATTATGCACAAACCCACACAAAAACTTGTCGTGCTCTGTGTAGTTTTTTCTTGTTTTGCATCTGAATGTGGAGAGAAGCTATTTGCACCTTCACTCATTCTGACAGAGCCCAACACAAACATGTTAACTAGGAGGGGTAGAGGAAGCTTTCCGAGTAGTGAAATGTTATTCAAATAATGACGTGAACACGGAGTACTCAAGTATTCATACCCTTCCCTAGTACTTACTACATGAGGCAAAGGACAATTACCACTATTTTAAATTTGTTATCAGGAGAAAAAATAGCTCCATTTGATCTGCAGAGTCCCTCTGCACCTTTAAGAAAAAGCTAAAGACCCAGCTCTTTCATGAATACCTACTAACTTAATGATGATGGTCTCCATATTATTGATGATGATGATGATGGTAATGACGATGGTTTTTGTTTGATAACAACGACTTATAAGATGGTTTCTATACTGATTAGAGCTCTCAAGAACTGCCCTCAATGAGGCTTTGCCTCTGGTCACTTCCTGTCAGCACCTGTGTGTCCAGTCAGACTCAAAGCTGATCGTTTGCTCTTTCTGACATTGTTCCCTTTTTTCTAGATCCTTGCTTGTGTTGTACTTACTCTCTGATGTACGTCGCTTTGGATAAAAGCGTCTGCTAAGTCAATTGTAGAATTGTAGAATATTAAAATTTGTAACAAGGGTAGGTGTAATAAGCTAAAGCTTCAGCCTACACCTTTTCGTTCAAAATGCTTTTGTTTTTTCTTGTGACCAAAATAAATGATTACTACTACTACTACTAAATATAGAGAGGAGGAGGATTACCGTCTACAGTTATTTGATGGTCATATACACAGCAACATCATTTACGCTGTCACATGCAATACAAAACTAGCTGAGGGAAAGGAGTTCAATGAAAAGAAAAGCTGCTTCTCATAAAATACTGAAGTTCTGTAGCTTCCAAAGTCTGACTAAAATACCAACAACATTTCACCAGGTGGATCCCACAGCTGTCAGTGCTCGTGTGCTATGAGAGCAGAGGGCTGCAGCGGAGCCAAAAGCCGGCTGACAAAAGTTCAACACAACTTCTGCTCAGCTGCCAATTTTCAACATGAAAGCAGACAGGTTCTCTTCTCTTTGTTGTCATGTTTTCTGTGGTTAGAGGAAAGAATTAAGTCACTCTCTGCTGACTGAACATTATGAGACATTTTATGAGGGGAAGTTAATATCCAATAACACCGTACATTACAAAATATCACTTAGAAGGTTACAGCAAACAGGTGATGGAGACTGATGATAGAAGACAAACACCTGTGCACATGCAGACATTTGGGAAAAAAAAACAAAAAAACAAAGCGACTCTCCTCCTGCTTCACTGCATGCCTCAATCTCCCACACGACTCACTCTCTCTGTCTCTGTCATGTCCTATCATCCAAGTGAATCACTCACTTCTGCTATGTCTCTTACCTTAGTTGTGAGGATGCAGAGACAATCCATGCTGGCTAGACAAAAACAGGAGCTCTCAACCTATGCTCAGATTCAGCTCCTCTTATAGCACCACTTAAGAGAAAGAGATTCCAATGTGAAGTAGCAACGAGGAAAGATAAAAGAAAGCGATCGTTGAACAAGTAGAAGTGTAAAGAAAAAAAGAAGAGGGGGAGGAGAAGACACACAAGGACACACACACCCAGGCACGCTCACACACACACACACACACACACACGCTGGGGAAGGAGAGAAGCCACGGCGGACAGACGTTACTGCATGTGGGCCCCTTGTAAGGATTGGGATGCCTCCTCCACAGCGCTGAAGGCAATCAGGATTCCGAACGCCATCTCCGAGCAGAGCCTGCGTCATCAGCCAACCACACACACATACACACATACACACATACACACACACACAAACTAAAAACGGTAAGTAGCTGGCCTGGACTCCTGAGCATTCCTGAGCGTCTCTCCCTCTCATCTATCCTCTGCCTCTGCTTTTCACTTCATTGTCTCCAGACTGAGCAACTGGATACAGAGTGAGAGAGAGAGCGAGGGAAGAGAGTGAAGGACGAGCGTGTCAGCTCAGCAGAATGAAGAAGATTCCCATGCTCTCTGCTGGTTATTAGCTGCTGAGGCAGACTGCAGGGACTTCATAATAAATCATTGGTTTTAATTTCTGGAGCAGGGACAGAAGTTTATTAGGGATGTGGAATGGGATTTGATTGAAGCAAACAGGACAAGTAGACAACAGTTACAAATAACTAAGCTCAAGGATTTTCAATTAACAAGCATCAAACACGTCGCTTTTTAGAGTTGGACCAAAAATGATGATGAAGTAAACAATCCCATCACATGTTCACATGCTGCCCTTTTGTAGATGTTTGATTTGAATAAAAGTCAAAGTATTGCCTGAACTCTCTAACTCTATGTGAAGCTCTGCGTCATCACACTCGTCTAATAACTAAAAAATACACTAAGGGCCTGATTCACAAAAGGATTGAGCAGCTTTCATCCAAATGAGTCAAAAGGACATGGTCTACTTTAAGAAAACACACACAAAGGGGAAACCCTAACTATACTGCAGAGCAAACAGCATGTTTAAATGAACCATGCAGTCATTAAAAAACTTACCCACTTTCAATGCTAATCAGCCTCACTGCAAAAACTGGGTTCATCTGAAATGCGAAGAGCCTCCACAATCTGACAGGAGACAGTCCCTATTATCCGTGCTGTATCCTGTTAGTATCTACTGTTCAGTAGGCAGATATCTGTTCCTCCTTCGTCTGATTCATTCAGTGGTGAAGTGGTGTCATTAGCCCGCCTCATGTTATTGACACTCACACTCAGATGTGATGTGTACGATGGCTCAGGAAATAATACAAAACTTCACATTCCATGAAAAAAATTCATAACATTTGAAAGCGCGTTAACCGAACCGGGGCGGAACTGATAGTTTATTTTAACTTTTTTTTTCATCCTCCTTTGTTTTGATTTGGAGGCGCACATAAAGTCACATTTTACGTTTGATTTCGCACAGCATTGTGGGAGTTAAAATACAACCCATGTCCTGAAAGGAAGCATCCCATCCATACTGCACAAAACCAGGAAGTTAGTATCCATGCTGAAATGTTTAAAGTCTACTGAGGTGGACCCAAAAAATACTACTGAAGGACCACAAGGGTTCAGTATAGTGAAAGTCTGCACTCCATACTGAACTGTGTCTAATCAGAAAGGGCCGCTGTCAAATTCTCAAATATTCAAACTTCTGCTATTACAGCCATGGAAGTAGGGGGACAAAGCCTGTTGATGCTAGGTGGTAACTGCGCCTGGAATTATTGAGTTATGTTTTAAAAGTCAAACTCCTACTACGTTTGTATACAAATCCCCTCGTAGCTCATTACCTTCATGTGGACATATTTGTGCTCCGTCAGCAGAAGTAAAGGTCCCAATAGCTTATCTCAACATTCCCATGCAAAACAAAAAGAAACTACTACGACAAGTTTTTGGGCGCATGATCACTGGCGCTATTCCTTGTGAAATAGAGCCGAAGCAGATGATCCAGCCTTTGTGAATCAGGCCGCAGGACTGCAATGCACTGATACAAACAGCAGCTAAGGCAGTGCATGTAAGTAGTTACTGAATGGTCATCTAAGCAAAATACAAAATGAAAACTGATGCAAAAACATCCATGACAACAACGCAAGCTGTGAAACACCAGCAGCAAACTTTGTCAAACAATTTCATCACATCGTCTAAAAAAAACACCTTTCATTCAACTTCATACCAGATAACTTCATACCTGAGGTTCCCCATCTGGATGAGATGACGTTTTTAAAATCTATCTTTGCATCTGAAGCTGTGACCGTAAACACTGACCAGTGCACAGAAAAAAACATCTTCATGGGTGAGTAGGACCATTCATTAAACATCAACGTTTTGGAAAACAGTATGATAAAAACTTTAACTTCTCTCTATAAAATCATTTAAAGCAAAGAAACTTAAACATTTTCCAAATGTGTTCTAAGTATTTACATATTCTCTGTAACACAGTCTTCATATGCAGGAAGTAGACATTCAGAACCTCTAAGCTACGTAATCTTGCCCATGTCGATTATTTCAATTATTTTCAGGGCAGAGTCCCGTGACAACAGGTTCAATCCACAAAATATTCAATAAATAACCACAAAATAGTTTATCAGATATGCACTGTACCATTAGAAAAATGATCCCAGCTTTTATAGTTGAGCATATTTACAGTAGAGATGATGTCAGAGAACTATGAGGGCAAAAAACAAAAATAAAAATAATCGTTCATTAATCGTAATCGAGGTAAAATGTTGAATTAATCGTGATGTTGATTTGAGGTCATATCGCCCAGTCCTAGCAGGAAGTATCCATCCATCTTTCATCTGCAGCACACTACAATGATCAGCCTTCAAGAAGTCCACCATGTCAACCAGTCAGATCCCATCTCCCAGGTAAACTAAGTCTCTGTTCTACATCATATTCTCCCCCTGAACTGTACCTGTTTGCTGGAGACATTCTGCTGAAGAGGTGTGTTGCAGAATTTGACCTTGATTACAGCTTTCATTTGCGGACGAAGCAGTGCCCCTACACTCTCAATGTCCTGTCGTTCCCTCTGAGCACATCCAGCAGCTCAGACTGCCTCTGCCAAAACGCCACAGCTAATCTTTTCAGGTGAGCGGATCAGGCAACCTCCGCTTATTGCATTAGAGAGAAGGAGTGTCTAAACTCCCTTGTATAGGAAGACGCTCATAAATACAATCCAGCTGTCGTCATTTTGGATTTTCTCTGAAAAGTGAAATTTAAAGGACTGCTAAACCTTATCACTCACTGATGGCATTATATTCACTTAATGGTTGGGTGTAGCGTTTAAACTGGCTCCATTGTAATTATTTTAAAACCCATTGTCATTGTCTGCCAAGATATTTTCGTGCCCCACCAATTTTTTTAAATCTGGCAGATAGAGCTATTTTGCTATCATTTTGAATAAAGTGTAGAAAAAAATCAACACTACATTGTGTTGGCAATGGCAAAAGGCAACTGTCTCCCTACAGTTGGTTTAATCCAAATGTCACGATTGGACCAGTTGGAACACAAAACACAGATGTGACAGGGAGCAGTGGATTGCAGTTGTTATTTGAGCATTAACCAAGGGGCAACCTCCGCTCTCGAAAAATGAAGCCTATGCGAAAGTACAAAAAACTGCAGTTCCTTGAGGCTGGCTGCAGAAGCGCCGGAAGTGCCATAAGCCCACAGCCAAAAAAAGCCCGTTTTTACCACAGGAATCAACATATTTACAGCCTGGTTCAAAAAACGAGATATATCCGATAGGTTGACGGCCCCTTCTCCTCCTCACACTGGGAATCGGATTTTATTCTATTAAGGAAAACGGCTATGCCCATATAAGGGTTGTGTCAGATTTGATTGACAGCTCTGCGCGCTGCATCTGTCTGTCAGGTCAGCAGGTCAGGAGGCTAACAGCTTGATCCGTCTGATTTCTCCTCTTTTTTTACTTCGTTTGGAGAGTTTGTTTAACACATATCTGACAACATACATGGCTTCCTGTGCGGTTAACAGACCATCCAAGAAGTTGATGCTTCGGTTTTTTTCGGTAAGTGATATAGTAGTGTTATATTTACTGCATACTCGTGTCGGTATTTATATTTACGGACCTAGCTTGTTTAGCGTTAGCTTGTAAACCAGTCGGCTAACTGTGTAGCTCATTATTTACGGTCAATGGTTTAATAATGTTTGTTGTTAAGATGTTGAAAATAATGAGTTTGTGTGATGTTAGAAGCTAAAGGTTCACCTCGGTGGTTAACAGCATACTGTAAATATGGTTATCTGACGTGATGATGAATGTTATACTCCACGTAAATGTCGACATTAAAAAACAAACTTTGTGTAGTAATTATCGGTCAGTACTTAACATAAACTGAACTCAACTGAACCTAATATGCTGTGTAGGTTATAGAGGATGATATTAACATTACATGGTTGATGTAGTGTCTTAAGGTTTGTGCAAACTGTTACCAAATTTAAAAAAAAAAAATCACTTTTTACGAGTTCAGGTAAATTAATTATTTGGTTATTAATATAGTTCTTAATCGTTACAGATGCTCTTACACAGAATATAGCAGTAGAAATATAAAATATAAATAACATATGGAATGAAAATAAGATATAAAGCCATAAGTACAAGAAATAGTTTGAAGAATACAGCCATGTACTGAGCTCATGTTAATAATAAATGAGTTACTGTATGTTCTGTACTAAAGCACAGAGAGTTGGGACCTGTTAATGATTCAAATAATTCAAGTTGTATTTGTTTCATGTTAAGATGAAGTACTATCCACAATAAACTGCTCAATTTTTCCTCACACAAAATCTGAGACCATTTGATGTGGAATATCATTGTGCAAGTGAGAGAGAGAGCTGAAAACAGCATGATTACAATAATGTTTATCTTCTTAACTTCAAATAGATGTTGATAACCTGAATACTGTACCTTTGTTGTCTGGGTAGTACACTGTTGAATTTATAAATGTACTCTTACACACAGATGAATACAAACAAATAGATGAGAACAAAAAAAATGATTTAATGAATAACTGATATTTTCTCTCTTTCTTTGTCATCCTGAAGACCTCTCACTAAAAGTCCATGTTCTCCTGGATCCATGTCACATGCTCGAGCTTCTTCTGAATGACTTTTCAACAGTCAAAGTTCTGCTGAGAGAAGATGGCCAGCAGATAAGACAGCAGTACATGAAGGAGCTCCACAAGCTTCAGGAGGAGGAGGAGGGTTTGCACCTTGGAAGACTGTATTCATGCTTCAGCTGTTCAAATAAAACTAGATCTCCTCCAAACAACTTGCAATCAAACTATTTTCTTCCCATTTTAAAACCCTTTGTCCAGTTTAGATGGGAGAAGTTGATATTATGTGATATTGATCAGGGAAGACTACTTTTCTAAATCATTTTTAACTGTGTTAAGTTATTGATCTTATTTACTCTCGATGTATCTTGATTTAAGAATGGGGC